AGAAAAACATAACTTCTAAGAGAGTTATCACATGGCCATTTGAATTTTGTTGCCATAAGACTTTGCATATCTTCATCCTCTGATACATTGGTGGGGTATTAATAGCATGTGTACAATTGTTACCTTAGTCCAACCATACGTATTAGATATAATTTTAAATAAGGAACATTCTCTTTTTGTGGCATGTGGGTTCTAGGTAAGCTGTGTGCATGGTGTAGCCAAGTGGTTTAAAGCTTGGTCCTTGGGGGTTTTCTTGTGTCGTTTGCATTAGGGTGTTTTCCATGCAACCTTTGGACTAATAGGCATGATATGATCATCTATGTTGATTTCTAACTTTCTAAATATGCTTCAAGAGAAAGAGAGTTAGGATAGTAGAAAATTCCATGTATTAAAAAATAGTAACACAATTTACTTTTTTATTTTTTTTTAAAAGACTTAAAATAATAACAAAAGACTTTATTTTCTCAAGGAAAAAAATGGGATGCTACAATTTTATGGGTTAATTATGTTAACAAAAATAACTTAAAATTAATTGATTTTGCAGGGAAAGAAGGTGTATGTGGTTCAACATAGAAGAGAAGTGTTGAGATGCATGGAGAGATGAAGGAACGTGCATAATTAAGCCGGAAGAAATAACATGATACAAGCACTTTGACAAAATAAATCTTGTTGATATTTTTCTTGAATATAAGTGCATAATTCAAATTTCAATGTAAGTGTATTTCTTGGACTCATTTTCCTAATTTTCTAAGGTCTTGCTTGTCATTTCAGCTTCTAATTCTTCACCATCTTCTCATACAAACTTCTATTGATTATTGGTTAATTTTAAATATTTAAAATTAGTAAATTTTTATTAAAAAATAATTGTTACATTTTTATAGTTTTAATATAATAAATTTTCTTGTCATAAAAATGTTATTACTTTTAATTGCAAAAAATCAACCATAAAATCTGATATTAAGGTTTTCTTTTTCTTTTCATTATTTTTAGTTTGTGGTTATTTTCCTCAATTGTAGTTTTTACATGCATGTGACCGGTGCCTATTTGTTTGATGTAGCTGATTATTTTTTGGTTCTCAGTTGAATAGTAACTGAGAGCATATACAAGATATAGCTGATAACTTCGATTTGATTAAAATAATGTGATTACGTACTTAGAAAATATTCAGCTTAATTTTTCAGCTTGCAATTTTTCTCATGGTAAGTGTAATACAATTTCTATTATATAATTATTTTATCTTTTCCTTGATTTTTCTTCTGCTGAGAGGAGTCGATATTATTATATGTTTTACCTTTTATTATTTTTCTAAATTAACTCTTAATATTTTTAATCCTTAAATCCACATTATTGTTTATACTATAACAAATATTAAAATTTTAACTATAGTTCCCAGATGATCATTAAATATCAATACATAAGCTATTTCCAAATTGATATTAAGACAAAAATATTTTTCTGAAGAACAATCTGTGCAATTTTGTTATTTTGTTTTGAATGTTTTCATTTGCAAAATGCTAAGGAATACGAATTTGTTTTAAAAAATATTTTCCAGTACTATTATCCCCTTATTTCCACAAAATCTACTGCTTTTTATCTATTATTCATTCAAGAATATGTGAGTACTTTTTTATAGAAGGGTCGACCATATAATGTTTTCATTTTGATACCAACTAATTGTTTTCACTACACTTTACTTGCTTTACATTTTGAAAGCATTTGGTATTCATTAATTTTGTATGTACTTAAAAGCTTAACAAGTTACATTTCAGTATAATATAACACCCTCATTTTTGTAATTTATTATTATTGCAATTAATGTTAGTTATTTGTGCATGTTATTTGAAATTAGAAGTGTTTAATTGATGTGAACTATAGGATATCTCGCTGTAGCGAGAATGAGGCGGTGAAAATGAAACATTCTGGAGCTCTCTCGCTGTAGCTAAAATGACAGACAACCAAGGAAGAAAACTTCTAGTTTTTTCGCTGTAGCCAGAAAGTCGCGAGTTTGAAAAATATTTAAAGAACTCTCGCCTTAAAATCTTCATTTTCAATCAAATCACATATCCCTCTCCATGCTCTTCGTTCTCTCCCTCTCCTTTCTTAGAGAAAACCTCCAATAACTCTGGATCTCTTTCAGATTTGAGCTCAAACATCCGTTCTTCTCGGATCTAAGTAAGTTTCTCGGAGCTCAAATCTCTATTTTATCCCTTTTCTTTGGTTCTCTCCTTATGTTAAAATCTCTACCTCGAAATACTTAGGAAACCTTATCTTTCGGAAGATCTCTCCGTGGATATTGTGGAATCTTTCCCTAGATCACTCAGAGAACTAGTTGGGAGGAACCGTTACCAGGTAAGGGGAGTATTTCCGAGCTTTATGTTTGTATATACGTATTTAATGACCCTAGGAGGATGTGAATAACCTATTTTAGTAAAAACTTATGATTTTATGGTGAAAGGATATTTTGGGTAAAAGAAAGACTTTGAGTTCTTTAAAAGAAATGAAATCGAATTCTTAGAGAATGTATATGGATTAAGTAATAGAAGATATACAACAATGAACTCTAGGTTAGGAGACTACCTTGAGAGATGGTACGAGTTGGGTTGAGTCTGAAGGTATCCGACCTTCGGCGCATTGTATTGCATGTATGGTGTGACATTGTGTGGTAGTCTCTATGATAAGTTTGATGTATTGTATTGATTGCGTGATATGACTTTGTATGACCACTTTATATGTTGAACTGGTATGATGCAATAAGTGTAGGTATAAAGTGATGACTGAAATGTATGCAATATAAGTAGAATTATAGAAATGAATAAAGTATTGAATGAAAGTGAAAGCATGTGATGTATGAATGAGAAATGAGAATATGATTGAGAAAGAATATGAGGCGTGATTATAATGCATGAGTCCACGCAACTTGAAACGGAGTGATTATGATATAAATTATAGCACATTGAAAGAGTGTGTTATCATATATATTGTAATCCATGAATTTATATAAATTGTGACTCATGAATCATAACATGTTGATTGATATAAAGAATGTGAAATGAGAAATGTTGAGAATGAGAAAGAGAATGAGTATAGATAGTTCAACGATACACTGAGGGTATAGAGTTAAGGAGAAAATTTCAGAAATATTGGGAAAATGAGGATGGTGAATGTTAACAATGAAAAGGGTGCACAATAAATTATTAAAAATAAACATTCACAGGCCACACCTTCATCTCCCGACGAAGCTCCTGACTATACCTTTGCTAAAAGAGGTCGGGGCGGTACACGTGTATCCGTGATGTTGCGGCCAACCGGCAGCTATCTATACTAGAAGTCCTCAAGGGATCCAGGGACAATTATGATGAAAAGTGTTATAGATGGGATATGATATAGAATATGTATGATTATTATATATATATATCGTAGCAGATCAGTTTATGTTGTTATGATACGTGTGTTGTAGTACATCGCGGGTGTCACTAAAACATATGTATTGTGACATATGAATTGAAATGATATGACACATGTATAATAACATATAGTTCAACATAGAAATGCATGTATGATGAATGAATTGTGGTATGTGCCTTGATGGATAATTGTATGTATTTGGATGTGATGAATGTAAATATGGACTATACCCTGTTAATAATGAATTATAATAGAATATTAGGTTATAACTCTAATTACCGATAATTAATTTATATTAAAAGGAACTTAGTGGGGCGGGAAGTACTCACCCTTACTGATTATTTTCAGGTAATGAAAGAGAAGAAACAGAAATGATTAATTCATTCTAGGATCATACTCGGCAGGGATTGTAGGAAAAAAATTGCTCAGATAAATTTGATTTAATATAATAAAATCACCTATGTATTTTATTTATTGACAGTGAAAATCTTCTAAGGAGAAATATTGTAAATTCGTAAAGTTTATTAATTCATATTTTCATATTGTACCATTTATTCCAAATATACAAGTTTTTATCAATTTTTCCCTAATCATGTTTTAACAATATAAGTTATAAATGCAAATTATTTATATATTAAAAGAAGGATGTTACAAAATGGTATCAGAGCAGTTCGTCCTAATAAGCCTGGGGTATGGGACTAGTTCGCTCATGTTATGTGTTATTTGTAATGAAATGTAGTAAAGTAAGAATGAAATAGGATTGTTGTTAGTGTGACCTGTTTGGTACTCCAGATGGGGATTTCTGTGAAGTTTTTGATTTGAATGTGTATATGTATACATATGTGAACAATAGGCTTGCTAACATATGTTTGATGTGTTCATTTAGATTAAAAATGATGAGTAGAGATAGATGAGTTGAAGTTACCGCTACGACTCCGACAAATGTAGCTCAAGTGTTAGAACCCTTAGTGTTTGATAGAATACAGAAGTAGTTAAAAGTCACGGAATACCAACGTTTATGAAGTATTGTCCTCCAAAGTTTAACCCTTAGTGTTTGATCATAATCCAAAGTTTGATCAGAATGCAAATTATTTATATATTAAAAGAAGGATATTACATAATATACTTGGAAAATATTCAACCTCCCAATATTGTTTTTGACATATCAAACGTTTTGCATTCAATTACAGACATAATCCTAAACATCATTGTATATGTCGTAAATATAAATGTTTAAAAACTAAACTAATTTCTTATAAAATCTGAACACATGTAAATTAAAATATATTATTAATCCGCCAATTGTATTGAAGATAGGATTTTAACTTACAGAATTATATACGTCCATCAATGTTAAAAGATAGATAATTGTTCTTATTTAAAAATTCTTAAAACATAAAACACTTAATTCATAAAAGTTACATCTTATAGAATTAATTTAGATAAAAGATGATGCTTTTTATGCATAATTTTAACTAAAAATTTGTAAAAATTGATTATAAAAGTATTTAAATTAATTAAATTTGATTAATACAAAAAAATGTATAAAATTAAATCTAACAACTATTAACTTTCCTCTATTGAATTTGATTCAGATGGCGAACATAGTAGCTGATTTGGGAAAGTCAATTTTGGAAAAATTAATGAATAATGCAATAGCCGAATCACGTTACATATGCTGCTTCTCATGCATTGTTAAAGACTTTGAAGATGAAAAGGAAGTTCTGAAAGCAACGAGAATGACTGTGGATGAATACACCAAAGTGGAGAAAAGAAAAGGAAACAATATTCGAGCAGATGTGACTTTTTGGCAAGAGAGAGCTGAAGAACTCATTCATGAGGACACTCAAATGAAAAAGACGTGTTTTTTTGGATGGTGTCCAAATTGCAAATGGAGATATAGTAAGGGAAAGCAATTGGCAAACAAGAAGAAAGAGATTGAAAGACTCTTAGAAAGTAAATTTGATAATGGCAATGTTGGAATTTCCCTTAATCTTCCAGGTGTTGAGTATCATTCTTCTCAAGATTACGTTTCTTTTGAAAGTAGAAAGTTGACAATCAAAGAACTTTCGGATGCATTGATAGATGACAGCAACTTTATAATTGGATTCCAAGGGATGGGGGGCACAGGTAAAACTACTCTGGCAAAAGAAGTGGGTAAGGAACTTGTGCAACTCACACAATTTGATCATGTCATTGATACTACAGTGTCATATACTCTTGATATAAGAAAGATTCAAGATGATATTGCTGCACCCTTAGGAGTGGATTTCAAGGATAAAAATAATTCAGAGAGACTCAAGCTTCTTTGGAGTAGATTAACTGATGGAGAGAAAATTCTTCTGATATTAGATGATGTGTGGAATCCTATCAATTTTGAAGAAATTGGGATTCCAAAGAAAGACAATCACAAGGGTTGCAGAATCCTTCTAACCACACGTGAAATGCGGGTTTGCCAATCAATGGGATGCGAAAAGATAATTCAACTGGGGGTTTTATCTAAGGAAGATGCATGGACCTTGTTCAAGAAGCATGCTAATATAAGCGATAGTTCCTCTAAACGTTTGTTGGATAAAGGGCGTGATATTACCAAAGAATGCAAGGGGTTACCGGTTGCAATAGCAGCCATTGCTAGCAGTTTAAGAGGTAAAGAAAGTTGGGAAGTGTGGAAATCAACATTAAAATCCTTGCAGAAGTCTGTGTCTAAGCACGATGTTGATGAAAATTTGGTTGATAAATGTTTGAGGCGTAGCTATCATAATTTGAAGGATGAAGGAGCCAAGAAACTGTTCCCTTTATGTTCTCTGTTTCCAGAGGATGAAGAACTTTCTGATGAAATTTTAACAAGATTTTGCAGAGGAGTGCGCCTTTTTGGGGAAATGGATATCAAATACGATGAACCTCGAGATCAAGTAGTTACTGCCAAAAATAAACTTGTAAATTCTTGTTTATTGGTAAAAGCTGGGAAACAAAGTGTTAAGATGCATGACTTGGTTCGTGATGTGGCCTTACGGATAGCTAATGAGGAAATTCAAGCAGTGAATTTGTCTGACAAAAATCAGAAGTCATTGCTTGAAAGGGGGGAAAATATTAAATATTTGTTATGCCAAGGGAAGATGAAGATGAAGATGAAGAAGTCCCAAATTCATTCTTTGAAAACATGACCAAGCTTCGAGTTTTGCATTTGTCATTCAAGACACGGACTTATGTTTCTCAATCATTAAGAAGGTCATTCCTATCATTGAGATGTATTAGATCTCTAATCCTTGAAAAGTTAAGCTTACTACGAGACTTCTATTTTCTGAAATGGCTACCATATCTTGAGACTCTTGATTTGGTTTCATGTGAGATGGATGAATTCCCACGTGAAATTGAAAGACTGTTTTACTTAAGAGTGTTGTGTTTAAGTAATTGTTATGTTAGAGAATTTAATTCAATTGAAGTGATTGAAAGGTGCACTTTACTTGAAGAATTGTACATTGTTGGTACGAAAGTCAGGTTTGATCTTTCGCGTTTGCATGGAAAAATAACCTTTCCTCCATTAGAAAGGTACGTTATCAGTGACTACCTTAGAACGGTGGATGAATCGTTGTCAAGATGTGTGGCCTTACCGAATATTGATGCTATTTTCTCAGAAGTGACATTCAAGCATTTGGTGCAAACATCCGAACTTCTTCATCTGGTACGAATTAAAGGGGCATGGAGAAATCTCATACCTGATATTGTTCCCATAGATAGAGGTATGAATGACCTATTTCAGCTTGTTTTAACGGGGAGTCCACAATTGCGGTGTCTCATTGACACTACACATATTGATTCTCATAGACAAAGTTTCTTCTCCAAGTTGATTGAGCTAAAACTTCATCGCATGGAAAATTTCGAAAAACTATGCAATGGTCCCTTTCCCTCTGACTTTCTAAACAATTTACAGAGCCTAAATTTCCGTGAGTGTATAAACTTGAGAAGCATATTGTTTAAGAGCAAGCTAAACCTCTGCTATCTTAAGACCACTAAATTGTCCTATTGCCGAAAATTGGTATCCCTATTTCAATTGTCAACTTGTCAAAGCCTCTTGCTTTTGGAGGAACTGTCCATAGAAGATAGTGAGCAACTAACAAACATAATAGCAGCATATGAAAGAATAAGGGAGGAATTGAAGGAAGAAATTGTTAGTGGTGAGAATGATAACAAGAGTTGTGTCTCCATGTTTCCAAAACTGAAAACTCTATATATTAGCAAGTGCCCCCATTTGGAATATATACTTCCAAGTCCAACTCTTTCTCCTCAAGTTGTTCCATTGCTAGAAACTATCAGAACACATGATTGTGGTGAGCTGAAATACATATTTCATGAACACCAACATGAACATGCAAGTCAGGATCTGCATCAAGAGGCAAAGGATATCATACTTGGCTCACTGAAAGAGGTGGAGTTCTCTTGCTTACCAAATTTCATTGATATTATTCCAAAATGTTGTTGTTCCATTTGTTCGTTAGCGACAGGGTCATCTTCTAAAAAAGATTCCATGGAAAAGATGTTAAAATTTTCTTTAATCCATTATGTAATTTCTATTATGTAATGACTATTATGAAATTACCTTTCTCTTTGAGATCTTGAATTACGTTGCTCTCACAATACAATATATGGTTCTCATACAATTAAGGATTCAGATAGCACTAACCTGAATCCATTGTTCCTTGATGTTACCTCTCTCTTGATGTCGTTGATTTTTTGGTATTTTTCCCAACTCTTCCTTCTTCTTTCAGCTCCTTGGATGGTTGAGAGAAAGTTCCTTTATGCATTTACCGTGAACTGACTCAGAAATCGTGAAAGTGAGAAATAAGGAATGTCGTAACCCTTATTTGGTAACCGCTCTCTAATTTATATGAAGGGGGAGGGGAGAGTTTCCTTATAATTGTATTTACAATTATACCCTCAATGACTTTATATTTTATATTTAACCACCATCACATTAAATCATTAATAAGAGTTATGCTATAAGTTACATAGGCCACTATAACAAGATTATTAAAATAATCTAACAATCTCCCACTTGGCCTATGTGACGACTTGAAGATTCAATGAACTGTAAGTGTGCATATCATTGATAATATCAAGTCATCATCTTTTAATGATTTAAGTTGATCGGATCATGACGGTCACAAGTCATTTGACGACATGATTCCTTTCAAGTATCACAGAACCAACTCAAATCAAAATAGCTTTAATCAGTCATACTACAGACTGTAACTCTGATGTATTTTTAATACTCAACTTGTTATCAAACTCAAACCATACATGTACATTAACACAATTTAGATAACAAGTAAACAAGCAGAAACAATACTTTTATTGAATTCTCAAAATGTCTACAATAATATGAGCAAAACAATCTATACACATATATGTGAATCACACAATCATGCTAACAAGGACTTGTCTATAATGCCCATTCAACCAATATGGCCAGAAAATGTTTTAGGGAGCAATCCCTTAGTTAGCGGATCCGCTATCATTAAATCAGTACCAATATACTCAATAGACACTTTCTGTTTCCGCACTTCTTCTTTCACTGATAAGTATTTTAAGTCCATATACTTTGCTCCCTTTGAATACTTATCATTCTTAGAGAAAAAGACGACTGCGAAATTATCACAATACATACTCAGTGGCTTTTCTACATTATCAACAATACCAAGTCCTAAGACAAAGTTCCGCAGCCACAAAGCATGAATAGTAGCCTCAAAGCATGCCACAAATTCCACTTCCATGGTAGACGTAGCAATAATGGACTCCTTTCCGCTCTTTCATAAAATCGCACAGCTAACAAGAAGATGTAACCAAAGGTCGATTTCCTTGAGTCTACACATCCATCATAATCTGAATCCGAGTAGCCAACCACTTCCAATTGACTAGATCTTCTATAAGTAAGCATGTAGTCCTCGGTGCCTTGTAAATACCTAAGGACTTTCTTTGCAGCCTTCCAGTGGTCCATTCTGGGATTACTTTGATATCGGCCTAACACTTCAACAACAAAACTGATATCAGGCCGAGTGCATATCTGAGCATACATTAAACTCCCGACCACTGATGCATAGGGAATAGATTCCATTGCTTTATGCTCCAACTCATTCTTGGAACATTGCATTTCACTAAACTTGTCTCCCTTTTGAATTGGAACTACCCCTGATGAGCACTTTTCCATTTTGAATCTCTCTAATACTTTGTTGATGTAGCCTTTCTGAGACAATCTCAGTAATCCTTGTGATCTATTATGGAATATTTCTATTCCAATCACATAGGAAGCCTCACCATATCTTTCATCTCAAAGTTCTTAAAGAGAAATTCCTTTACATCATGCAACAGCCCAACATCATTAGTAGCAAGAAGAATGTCATCAACATACAAGACTAAAATGATGAACTTACTCCCACTGACCTTCATATAGATACATCGGTCAACAGTGTTCTATAAAACCATATGACGTGATGGTATTATTGAACTTAAGATACCATTATCTGGAAGCCTGTTTTAACCCATATATTGATCTCTTTAACTTACACACCGTACTTTCTTTACCTGCAGTCAAGAAGCCATCTGACTGATCCATATACACTTCCTCTTCCAAGTTACCATTCAGAAAGGCGGTCTTTACATCCATTTGGTAGAGCTCTAAGTCATAATAAGCCACCAAAGCCATAACAATTCTTAAAGAGTCCTTTTTTGAAACTGGAGAAAATGTCTCTTTATAGTCTATGCCATCCTTTTGAGTGTATTCTTTAGCAACAAGTCTAGTCTTGTATCTCTTAACGTTGCCTTTTGAGTCATGTTTGGTCTTAAAGACCCACTTGCAGCCGACTTATTTTGAACCTTCAGGCAACTCGACTATATCTCATACCTTGTTGTCACTCATTGATTTTAACTCTTCTTTCATGGCATTCAACCACTTTTCAGAATTGTAACATTCCATGGCTTGCTTAAATGAGACTGGATCCTCATCAATACTCAAGTCACATTCATGCTCAAGTGACTAAACTACATAGTCATTCGAAATAGCCGGTCTTTTCTGCCTTACAGACCTCCTTAATGCTATATCTTGTAGTTCACCTTCCTCTTGCTCATTTGTGACTTGCGCATTTTCAGCTGGTTCATCCTCTATATGTTGTTCTTGTGGGTTTAGAACATTAATTTGTTGTCTCCTTATGTTGTGTGACCATGATACAACAAGAGGAACAACAACTGGAGAAGAGACACCAACTACAGGAGTTTCCGCACGTATCTCTTTAATTTCCACATTTCGTATTTCACCACTCCCACTAAACTGACCATTTTCAATGAACCTTGCATTTTTAGACTCAACTATTCTCATACTATGGTTAGGACAATAGAATTTGTACCCTTTTGATTTTTCAGGATAGCTGATGAAATAACCACTTATGGTTCTAGCATCAAGCTTCTTTTCATGTGAATTATACACTCTTACTTCTGTTGGACAACTCCAGACATGAAGATGTCTTAAACTGAGTTTCTTTCCTGTCCATAGTTCATAAGGAGTCTTTGGAACTGCCTTACTAGGAACTCTATTAAGTAGATACGCAACAGTCTTTAATGCGTACATCCACAAAGACATAGGTACAGAACTGTAACTCAACATACTCCTAACCATTTCCATGATAGTACGATTCTGCCTTTTAGCCACACCATTTTGTTGTGGTGTACCAGGCATAGTATACTGTGCACATATGCCTCGACTTTCCAGAAGTTTCGCAAATGGACCTGGACATTGTCCACTTTCATTAGATTTTTCATAATATTCACCACCTATATATGATCTCACAACCTTTACCTTTCTATCCAATTGCCTTTCCACCTTATCAATGAACACCTATAAGACATCAACTGATTGAGACTTTTCATGCAACATATATAGATAACAACAACGTGAGTAGTCATCAATGAAGGTAATGAAATATCTTTCACCACCCCAAAACGGGATGTTAAACGGACCATAAATATCAGTGTGTATCAACTCTAAGAGTTGACTGCTTCTTGTGGCTGGATTCTTTGATGTGTGTTTAGTTTGTTTTCCTTTAATACAATCCACACATACATCCTAGTCAACAAAATCCAATTGAGGTAAAATTTCACTTTTCATTAACCTCATTATCCTTTCTTTGGATATGTGACCTAACCTTTGATGCCACAAAAAAGCAGAACATTCATTACAAACATTCAAATTTCTACTAATAGCACTCTCAGCATGAAACAGAGATTCACCACCAGGTATTTTAGGTACCTCAATAAGATTTGATTCAAAGCATACTTAAACATAATATATACCTTTCCTTTCGAACCAAAACTTTCTCTTCAGACAATCTTTCTTGAAGTGATCAGTCTTCTTGCAGAAGAAGCACCTCTGGCCCTTCTGGATTCGGCCTTCACAAACCTTTAATAAGGCCTTATCCTTCTTGTCCTTGTTGTCCTTCTTACCTGGCTTAGCCTTGCTACTATTAGCCCCTTCATGAAATGTGAGATGGACGGAGTGTTCTTTTACCTTCTTCAGCCTCCCTTCCTTCTGAACTAGCATGGCCTTAATTTCTTGTATGTTCCATTTATCCTTAATGGTGTTGTAATTCACCTGGAACTAACCAAACTCAGGAGGGAGTGAGTTTAAAATAAACTGTACTAGAAAGAATTCCTTTACCTCCATGCCTATTGATTTCAACTTTGCCACTTGATTGATCATGTCAGTCACATGGTCATGAATGAGCCGTGACCAATCAAACTTCTTAATAGTTAGCTCAGTCAACAGGTGCCTGTAATGGACTTGTCAGTAATGTCCGATTGTACATACTCTTTTACTTTTGCTATAAATTCCCTAGCATTTTCAGTCTTTGGCATTGATAGTTTCACATTTTCAGCCATAGTCATCTTCAGCAAGCTCAAGCTCAGCCTATTCGACCTTTCCCAAGCCTCACGAAGAGTTCTTTCCTCTTCAGTACTGGTCTCTATGATGGCTGCAGGCTCTTGTTCCATAATGATTGCTAGGTCTAAGTCCATATCACCTAACTGGAATTGAACTTGTTCAGCCCAATCATCATAATTAAGCCCATTGAACTTGACTACGCCATTGCTCATGCCATACGCATTCATAGAGACTGAAATATTTAACACATGCTTAAACATTTATGCTTTGAATAAACTTAATGGATTCGGATAGTCAACTTTCATCAATTATGCATCCAAGTTTACCTTTGGGTAACACCTAAATACACAATTTATCTATAATGATGCTAATAAACAACTTTAATTGAAAACTAGTCACTCAAACCAATATGCAAGTCATCTTTGGATATTCAAACATATTATGAAGTGCTTATATGTCTCCTTAATGTCATTAATCATATGCAATGATCCACCTTTAGACGATCTCCTAGCATTATAATTAATAAGCTAAATTGTTCACTCTTTGTTTCCATATAGCATCAAACAATTTTGAACAATTTATAACACATAATTAAATGCTTAAATAACTTTTAAAGCTAGGCCACTCTGGTAACTAACAAGCTACCCTTAAAATTAAGCACTAAATTATGAAGTTCTCATTATGATAATGTAATTTAGAATTAATTAACTTGAGAATTTAATCACTTTGGTGAGTAAAATTCACTTTGATGTAATTCTAAAATTATCTATATATTTTATGAATTATATTCTCTATTCTGCAGTAAAATTCCTATGCACGGCCGTGCTTTTACTTAATGCATGGTCGTGCTTCAATGAAGCAAGGCCATACTCATTTCTGATGCATGCCCTTGCTTCCTGAAACATGGCCGTGCTTCCTGATGCATGGCCGTGCTTATAATTGATGCACGACCGTGCTTACAATATGGAAGGCCATGCTTTGTGGAAACATGGTCGTGCTTGCTCCTGATGCGTGGCCCTGCTCCCTGATGCATGGCCCTGCTCACTGATACATGGCCCTGCTCATATTACAGATTCAAAATCCAATGTTTCTAACTTCCAAAACCTTAGGGTTTTCAATTATTGAATCCAAAGCAATTATTCAACATCAAAATAATGTCAATCCATCATATAAAATACCTAGGGTTCATGTAATTTGGGAAAAACTTTAATGGAGAACCAATCTCTTATGGAGAATAAACAAAATTCACAACCTAGGCTCTGATACCAACTGTTATAATTTTCTTTAATCTATTATGTAATTTCTATTATATAATGACTATTATGAAATTACCTTTCCCTTTGAGATCTTGAATTACGTTGCTCTCACAATACAATATATGGTTCTCATACAATTAAGGGTTCAGAGAGCACTAACCTGAATCCATTGTTCCTTGATGTTACCTCTCTCTTGATGTCGTTGATTCCTTGGTATTTTTTCCAACTCTTCCTTCTTCTTTCAGCTCCTCTCGGATGGTTGAGAAAAAGTTCCTTTATGCGTTTACCGTGAGCTCACTCAGAAACTGTGAAAGTGAGAAATAGGGAATGCCGTAACCCTCATTTGGTAACCTCTCTTTAATTTATATGAAGGGAGAGGGGAGGGTTTCCTTATAAGTGTATTTACAATTATACCCTCAATGACTCTATATTTTATATTTAACCACCATCACATTAAATCATTAATTAGAGTCATGCTATAAGTTACATAGGCCACTATAACAAGATTATTAAAATAATCTAACAAAAGATACAATCAAATCCCAACAAATGCAAAATTTCTCCTTGGATCCATATGTGTTATCCTAACAAATATAGAGGCAAAGTCACGAGTACCAAAAGTATTGAAAATTCATTGGTTTCCAATGAATCATTGCAAGATAGCTTAATCTCATCGGTAACCCTCTCACCTCTCTCTGTTATCTTATATTTAGTCTATATGCATATTAAACATTCCACTTTAAAAATTACCTTTAATACACTAGCATGTCACAAGTTACTAAAAAGTAATTAGAATATAGTTGTACTGTATATCTTTCAGTAAATATTAGAACTAGAAGTTGACAACCAAATTCCAAGAGCTCAACAGTTTTGGAGCATTAAATTATGGATTTTTATCAACGTAAGCCTAACTCTAGCATTTGAATAAGAAGTTTTACATACATTCCCGTTCCTTATGTTTCATGCAAAGAGATATTGTTAGATTAAATTTAAGAACCCTTTTTGTGGTATTACATTGTAGGTGTCAAACATTGACTATCTTCATCTTTGGCAACGTGCTCAGTGTCTTTCGAAACAACCACATATCCTGCGCAACATTAAAGAACTTGAGCTACAAAATTTTTCAAAGACAAAATCTGTATTTATCTTATCTATTGCCCCAATGATGTTGGAAAAATTGAGAATTCAGGACCGTGACGAATTACAGCACATAATAATAGACACCAGAGATGACCTTGTTGACAATAATTTGAGTTATGTCTTCCCAAAATTGAAAAAGATCTCTGTGAAAGGTTGTGAGCAATTGAAATATATATTCGGATGTTGGTTGGATGATCATCAAAATCATTACAAGATAAACCTTCATCTTATGGTCTTGGAAAGTCTCTGCTTAAATGATCTGCCAAATTTTATCGGAATTTGCTCGAAAAACTAAAGCACATCATTGCCACATTTGATTGAGTTTGTACTCAATGGATGTTCCCAGTTTGGCATTAAATCTATTGGCGATTTCATCCTTTCTGTGAATAACAGATGCAAGGTACCCTTTTTTCCCTATACCTTCACTGTTCGTTGACTTGATCATTGATTTTAATCCAATTATTATTAGGTTAAAGATTCAGTTTTTTTTCTTTAATAAATACTAACATTGTAAAATCATTAGATTCATCTAACTGATATGATCACCTAATAAGAAACAGTTTGTTGATGTAACATTATAATTATATTATATAACTAGCTAAAAACTTATACATTAGAACTTATGGCTGAAATATATTCAATGAAACTTAGATGAGGAGATAAAACTAACTAAAGTATATTCAATGACTAGAAAATATATTTAGTATTATAAATATAATATTAAACTTAGATGAGGAGATAAAACTCATTTAAAAACTATAATTATAAATATAATTCATTTAAAAAGATAAAAATAAAAATAAGCTAAAATTATTGGCTTAATTGTTATTTCAACTACCTTTTCAAATGTTAACTTTTAAAAATTATATATATTTTTTTATTTTGTGATTACCAAACAATTCTACTAACTTATATTTAAAAAATCAAGTTATAAATTCCTAAATAAACTAAAAGCTCCCGTTATCAATCATAGCCAAAATTCAAAAAGAGATGTTATTGTAAAAATGTGGTTAGCACGGAAGTATTAGTGATATCCTTATTTTACCAGTCTTAATTCTAAAATGTTATTTTGAAAATATTAATGGAATTTTGTTTTTTATTTACGTGACTTTATTTATTTATTTATTGTAGGAGTTGAGTGAGACCTTGAAGCATGTTCTCTCTTTGAAATATTTATGGCTACAAGGCTCCAAAATTGAAAATATTTTTTGTTTTAATGAAATAATTGGGCAAGAAATAAATTTAGGGTGGGAAAACATTCGGTTGGAAGATCTGCCTCATATGACCTATCTTTTGATAGGTCCTAATAATTCTTTTATCCTCCAAAACCTGACAGAGTTACATGTTGTGCAATGTGAGAAATTAGAAGTAATCTTTACTCCTTCTATCTCAAGATGCTTACCACAGTTGCATATTATAATTATAAAATAATGTAAAGAATTAAAGCAGATCATTGAAGAGGATGCAGAAATTAGAAGTAATCTTTCCCCCAAAAGTTTCCCAAAGCTAGAAGGGATAGTGGTTGAAAAATGCAACAAATTAACATATCTCTTTCCTGTCTCCACTTCTGAAGAGCTTCCTTTGCTAACATTTCTGATAATAAAAGAAGCTTCTGAGCTAAAGGAAGTATTCAAATGTGAAAGTGATCAACAGTTGAGATTCCACAGCTAAGACTTTCAGTTTTTGTAAAACTACCAATCTTCAGCCAGCGGATTGAATTGAAGAATACAGATCTTTGGGTGCAGAGCTGTCCAAAACTCTCTTTGACTTCAACGATAGAGGCCAATCAGTTGAGGCTTAAAGTTGTATACTATGTTTATGGAGGTATACATTATATACATTTAAAAGCATTATGTCCTGGTTATACATAACTACACAAGTTTATCCGTTTAAACTTGAAAATGATGATTTACATATTTGCTTTTAATTCCTATAACTTATTCTTTAAAGGAGTTGTTAATCTTTAGTATTTTGTTTCAGAAAATCTGAGTAAATATTCCATTGAAATATTGCAATACATTGCTCGACATTTTGAAGACTTAATAACCCAAGATACTAGCAATGAAAATCAAACTATAGAAATCACTGAAGACATTGAAGTTGAGCCGGATGTCCAAGCACAAAGTGAGTTGGCTTCTTCAGAAGTCAATACGAATCAATCCATTGCAGAGATAGAGCATGAAATTGTTGAACAAGTTTCGAGTTTAAAGATATCATTGGCAACAACATCACCAAGTAAAAGGCATGAAGCACATTCAGATGTAAGCAAACTATTAAGGTATTCTTAGTATTGGAGAAAACTAATAGCTCAAGACTAATGCATCTGCACTCATTTAGGTGTTGTTGGATGAGCAATCAACAGGAGAACCAAGCTTGATGAACCAAAACCAGACCATTGGACTAACTGATACCACCTTTAAAATTTCCCAAGAAAATAATGTAACCATCTAACTGTGCATATAATGCGCTAAAACTTCAGAGAAAATGAATAGTACTTCAAATACCTCTTATTAGGAATATAATGCAACTTATTCACATTTTGTTGGTATACAGTGTCTTAAAGAAATAGAGGACCAAAGTAATCAAGAGGATTCTATATCATAGCAAACTACTACAACAACTTTATCCATCGATTCAGAAAAGGGGAAAACATCACCCAGACAATTGCTTTCTCCAATACAAGAGGCATTCCCCTGTTATCCTTTTTATCTCTATCAGCATAAGAATATAAATATGCTCCAAACCTAAATATATAGCTAAGCACTTTAAGTTATTACTAAATGATGCAACTGATGCAGGTTGTGACTTAATATTAATTCTTTAGTTTTTTATTCATTTCATTTTCTTTTCATTTCTTCCATATCATTTGTATATTTTAATCTGTGTAGGAAGATGATGGTGGCCAAATAACTACACCTTTTTCAGTTATCACTAGAGAGAATCCTACCACAAAAAATGTTCAAGAAATTACTGAGACTCATGCTCCAGGTGAGTATTCTTGCATCTATTTGGTTAAAGTATATTAATAATTGAAGCTCAAATAAAATTTTACCTACAAGAGCCTAAGGACAATTTTTTTTTCCTATTGGAAACTTAAATGTTATACCAGAGGGAACAAAGAAAACTAAGCAAAAGTTTCAAATTTGTAAAATAGACAAATTATCTTTACCTTTAAACGTAAAAATGATGCTTTACGAGATTGAAATTAGACTCTGTTATTTTTTCTTATGAGTTGTGATCTAAACGACTTATTAATCTATAATTTTTTATCACTAGAGTCTGAAATTGATTGGTTTAGCAAGTGCATGTTACGAGACATGATTCATTAATTTAAAGACTCTGGCACTGAATTTACCAATAATGAAAATGTATCTGTAGAAAACTATAACATTGGGCATGAAGTTCAAGCAACATCAGAGCATGAGTTAACTCCACCACAAGTTAATGGAAATCAATCTATTCAAGCAACTCAAACTGAATATATTCAAGAAGGAAGTGACTTTAAATCTAACATGTTCATCTCTGTGGAGACAAAAGCCAAACCTTCACAAAAGGCAGAGAAGGGTTTTGTGGAAGAAGTTACTGGTTTAGAGATTCCCTTGCCAAACATTTCACCAACAGATGCAGCAAATGCCAAGATAAGTCCTTTGGATAGTCTTCTACATAAAACCCATTCAGATGTAAGTGTACCATATAGTGTCTGTTTGATTTAAAGTTGAGTGTAAATGACTTTAATAAAATTGAGTTTACACTGTTGAATATGATACAGGTGCATGTTTAAATTAGTCTGAACGACAGATTTTTATTAGAATGTGCGCATTTTATTGGAAAGTTTAGAATTAATTTTATAATGATAAAACAAACACTTCCATAGTCTTCTTAGCACAAGAGGAAACTAATGGCTCATGACTATTGCTTTTGCATTCATTAATCTTTTCTTATTGGAAAAAAACTAAGGAGAAGAAAGGGACTGACAAGACTAATGCATTTTTTATAGTATAAATTTAGACTAATATTATTTTAAATTGTCTCTCCCTTTCCTTCCCACCAAAACAACTCCTAACCATATCCTAAGGCTCAAGACTAATGCTTTTGATCTCATTATAGGAGTTGCTGGATGAACAACCAACAGGAGAACATTGTCTGATGATAGAACAAAAACCAATTGGAGAAAATGATATAACTTCTAAAAGTTATCAAGGAAATAATGAAGTGCCACAACTTGACTATGTAAGTAATGCTAAAAAAACATCACAGTTAATGAAAAGTACAAATACTTTCTAGAAACACATTGTAACTTATTTACCATTTCTAATTTTGTTAATCAGCGTTTGAAAGAAACAGAGGACCAAAGTATTCAAGATGGTTCTATGTTTGAAAAAAATATAACAGCAACTCTATTGGCAGAGTCAAAAACAACGAACACATCCCTAGGACCATTGATTACTCCTTTACAAAAGGCATTCCCCCATTACTGTTTATTATATTGTTCAATATAGGAATGTAGGTATGCTCCGAACTTAAAATAGCTTTGTGATTGTGTGAAGGGTATTAAGAGAAATGTTGAAGAAGGAACTACATCAGTGAATTTCAAGTCAATAACAACATCAACGTATGAGATGAAAAATCTCATGTACGGTTCTGTAATAGAGATGGAATTGAGAAACAACCATCAACTAGAACCCCAAAAGAACCAGATTTCGTAAACAACATAGAGGAAGAATGAAAGGAATATCCTATCGAGGTAATAATATTTGCTTCGGAAGATATTGCTCTTCAGGCACTTGGAGCCCGCTTGGATCACGTCTAGGACAAATAGAAGCGGGACGGCGAGCAATGTCACGAAATGTCCGACGAGTGTGGACAAATATGGGTACGCATATTTCCAGACAAACCAGTTACAGTAAGACCCACCGAAACGCGTATGGGTTCGGGAAAAGGATCTCCCCGAATATTGGGTATCTGTCGTTAAACCTGGGAAAATACTTTATGAGATGGGTGGGATATCAGAAAATATAGCCAGAAAAGGCTATTTCTTTAGCAGCCTCAAAAATGCCTATACGAACTCAATTCATTATTTCAGGATAATAATGAAAACCAAAGGAAAGAGGGCTTTAGGATGAAAACATAAAAATGCAATTGTAAGTTCCTTATTTTTGAACACAGAATATTTTTTTTTTACTTCAATCTTTGGACTGAAAGAACAAAAAAATGATATGATTCAACCTCAAACCTATTTGAATGTAGCTGATAACAGCGGAGCCCGCGAATTGATGTGTATTCGAATCCTAGGAGCTAGTAATCGACGATATGCTTATATTGGTGACATTGTTGTTGCTGTAATCAAGGAAGCAGTACCAAATATGACCTTAGAAAGATCAGAAGTGATCAGAGCTGTAATTGTACGTACTTGTAAAGAACTCAAACGTAGCAACGGTATACTAATTCAGTATGATGATAATGCTGCAGTTGTCATTGATCAAGAAGGAAATCCAAAAGGAACTCGAATCTTTTGTGCAATCGCACGGGAATTGAGACAGTTAAATTTCACTAAAATAGTTTCATTAGCACCCGAGGTATTATAAAATTATAAGGCAAAACCGTGATATGGATATATTTGTTTTGTAATGAAAATGGATTAATTAATATATTATATCTCACACATATCCCTTTTGTAGTAATTATTCTAAGTATTAGAAATAACAATTATTATCTATTTCATATTAATATTGGATGATCTAAATGAAATATATTGGATGATCTAAATGAAATAATGAAAAAAAAATAGAAAAACGAGCATGTTGATTATATTGAAAATAAGGAGCAACAATCATTTTCGTTTATCATGAGTAAGGACACCATCGCTGACATAATAACCTATATACGAAATGCTGATATGAATAGAAAAAAAAATGGTTCAAATACCATTTACTAACATCACCGAAAACACTGTGAAAATACTTTTACGAGAGGGTTTTTGTTGAAAACGTCAGAAAACATAGGGAAAGCGACAAATATTATTTAGTTTTAACTCTACGGTATAGAATAAATAAGAAAGGATCATATAAAAGTTTTTTAAATTTAAAACGGATCAGTACACCTGGTCTGCGAATATATTCTAATTATCAACGAATCCCTAAAATTTTAGGAGGCATGGGGATTGTAATTCTTTCAACTTCTAGGGGTATAATGACAGATCGAGAGGCTCGATTAGAAAAAATAGGCGGAGAAATTTTATGTTATATATGGTAATCTTTCTGAAATACGAATTAGATGAGAAATTTCTATCCATTTTTGTCAAAAAGAGAGAGAGAAAACACAGATTTAGAATATCACCCACCCCTCATATACTAGTGAATGTGCGAAGGGGGTTTAACTGAAACTGGAATTGGAAAAAAAAAAAAAGAAAAAATAAAAAGGATTCAAGAGGATTTAATTCCTGAATGAATAAATTCCCAGGGGTATGTTTCAGATTCCTTTATATAATCAAAATTGAATTATAAGCTATGTTTTTCAAAAGATTCGACGTACTTTTTATATGTTTATATGTATACGCCCGTAGAAAAAAAAAAAGAAGCATAAAAAATTCAATTTAATTAGACTGTTTTTTAATTTCAACAATCTTTTTTTTTTGGGGGGGGGTACAAGTTCAAAATGTAAGGAAACCTTATTTTCTTCCAATAAATAGATTTGGTATTAACTTATTAAGGAATTACAAATATGAAAATAGGGGCCTCCGTCCGTAAAATTTGTGAAAAATGTCGATTAATTCGCAGGCGAGGGCGAATTCTAGTAATTTGTTCCAATCCAAAACATAAACAAAGACAAGGATAATATTTCCACAAAAGAGGATTTTCTATAAAAATAGAATATAAAAATATTAGAATATATATTTTATAAAATATTAGAAGAAATTTTTTATTATTGGTATTTCCAATTTGAAATTTTATTTCAAAAATTCATATTCGATGTCGATTAATATAAAAATACAATTGATATATATAAATCGAATATGAATTCTAGTTAGAAACTAGTTAGAAAAAAGTAAAGGATCCGTTTTTGAATGAAATGGATATATCCATATATCTCGGACTTATTTTTATGAAATAATCAAATATGGCAAAACCTATACCAAAAATGGGTTCGCGTAAAAATGGACGTATTGGTTCGCGTAAGCATGCTCATAAAATACCAAAGGGAGTTATTCATGTTCAAGCTAGTTTTAACAATACTATTGTGACTGTTACAGATGTACGTGGTCGGGTTATTTCTTGGTCCTCCGCCGGTACTTGTGGATTCAAGGGTACACGAAGGGGTACACCATTTGCCGCTCAAACCGCAGCAGGAAATGCTATTCGAACAGTAGCGGATCAAGGCATGCAACGAGCAGAAGTCATGATAAAAGGCCCCGGTCTCGGAAGAGATGCGGCATTAAGAGCTATTCGTAGAAGTGGTATACTATTAAATTTTATACGGGATGTAACCCCTATGCCACATAATGGATGTAGGTCTCCGAAAAAAAGACGTGTGTAAAATTAAAAATAAACATGGAAAAGATTTCAAGAGAAATAAACAATTCAAGGGTTTGATCAAATATATATATATTACTATGGTTCGAGAGAAAATAAGAGTATCAACTCGGACACTACAGTGGAAGTGTGTTGAATCAAGAGTAGACAGTAAACGTCTTTATTATGGACGCTTTATTCTGTCTCCACTTATGAAAGGCCAAGCCGATACAATAGGCATTGCAGTGCGAAGAGTTTTGCTAGGAGAAATAGAGGGAACATGTATTACACGTGCAAAATCGGAGAAAATACCACATGAATATTCTACCATAGTAGGTATTCAAGAATCAGTACATGAAATTTTAATGAATTTGAAAGAAATTGTATTGAGAAGTAATCTGTATGGAACTCAAGACGCATCTATTTGTTTCAAAGGTCCTGGATATATAACTGCTCAAGACATCATTTTACCACCTTCTGTGGAAATCATTGATAATACACAACATATAGCCAACCTAACAGAACCTATTAATTTGTGTATTGGATTAAAAATTGAGAGGAATCGCGGATATCGTATAAAAACACTAAAAAACTTTCAAGACGGAAGTTTTCCCATAGATGCTGTATTCATGCCTGTTCGAAATGTAAATCATAGTATTCATTCCTATGGGAATGGGAAAAAAAAACAAGAGATACTCTTTCTCGAAATATGGACAAATGGGAGTTTAACTCCTAAAGAGGCGCTTTATGAAGCCTCTCGGAATTTGATTGATTTATTTATTCCCTTTTTACATGCAGAAGAAGATCCCTTTCATTTAGAAAAAAATCAACACAAGGTTACTTTACCCCTTTTTACTTTTCATGATATATTGGCTAAGGATAAACTGAGGAAAAATAAAAAAGGAATAGCATTGAAATCCATTTTTATTGACCAATTAGAATTGCCTCCCAAGATCTATAATTGTCTCAAAAGATCCAATATTCATACATTATTAGAACTTTTGAATAATAGTCAAGAAGACCTTATGGAAATGGAACATTTTCGTGTAGAAGATGTAAAACATATATTAGACATTTTAGAAATAGAAAAGCATTTCGCATAAATTTGAAATCCATTGGCATTGGTTTTTTTTTTTTCATATTTTTATTATTTATAAAAATAAAGGTGAAAATGTGTAATTTGAATCCTTAGAATAAATCCATATACTCGGAATAGGCCAAAAGATGTATCTAGGGATTAGTCGTTTCAAAATGAATTCTCCCTAGATACACAATATACATGGCATGATATTTTATTTCACAATTGAATCCATTTAATTAAAAAGTTTAAAAAAGACCTAAAATTAGAGATTTCTCAATAGGTAATGTTGCTCCAATACCCAACCAAAGGGCTACTATGGTACCAATTAAAAAGATGGTTGTTGCTACTGGACGGCGAAATGGGTTTTGGAATTTATTAACATTTTCCAAAAAGGGTACTGTTAATAATCCCATAGGTACCGAAACCATTAAAAGAACGCCTAATAACTTATTGGGCACTGTACGAAGTATTTGAAATACGGGAAAGAAATACCATTCGGGTAGTATTTCCAAAGGAGTTGCAAATGGATCCGCGGGTTCTCCAATCATTGATGGTTCTAGAACCGCTAATCCTACGTTACAGGCAATAGTACCCAGAATTACTACTGGAAAAATATATAAAAGATCATTGGGCCATGCAGGTTCTCCATAATAATTATGACCCATTCCTTTAGCCAATTTAGCTCTTAATACAGGATCATTCAAGTCAGGTTTTTTTGTTATTAGGATAGGTGAATTCTTATAGATCCATCCTCCGAAAGAACCGGACATGATAATTTTTCATCATCCGGCTCGAGCACGAATCAAACATTTCGAATGTATCCATAGAAAAAATGCATATGTTATCCACACATATAGAAAGATTCCATGTAAGAAAATAAACCTTATTTTCTTCTCCGAAGTTACAATTATCTTATCTGCAAAAAAAAAAAATTAAGTTCTTTTATTATTAAGTAAACTTAAGTAAACGCTCAATACCCAAGTAGGCTTTCAAAGTGAATAGTGCTTTTTGGGTGATCTCAAACCTTGCAATTCTTACCCCCCCCCCAAAAAAAAAATCTTGGAACTTTTTACGTACAAAGGATTTACTTGTTACTAATATAATCTAACCCCTGTTCTTCTTTAGATCCACTTGGTTTACTCCGATAGTATCATAAATCGAGTCAATGCATAGGAAATGAATGCATTTCCATACTATTAAGTTCAGTGAAATAGAGAAAATATAATTCAGATTATCCCACATCACTTTTTTTACTGGATGTTACGGAGCCTGTTCATGCAGGATATGATCGAGTCTGATCATAGAAAAGATTCTTTACAAGTGAAACCAGCCTATCCTCTGTAGGGACGGACCTTGCGTGGTAGTTGGAATAAAGACACATTGAATTGTAAATTCAAATGTGGCAGATAAGAGAAAATCATATATCTGCGTGGCCCAATCAATAGTTCAAGTCACACACTCCCATAATCCATTTCTTCTTCGTAGAATTCCCTTCAACTATTCGTGTATGTAAAAAATAATAATAATCCAATTTTGTTAAATTGAAGGAAAATATCCAAATACATGTCTTATTCTTTTAAATAATCCATATTTGTAGCAATGAAATATATTCCTCCCCCAAATAAGAAATGATTAATTACAAATATCTATGATTCATATTTACTATAAAGGACCAGAAATGCCTTGCTTACGTATCATTGGAAAGTGCATTAACATAAATACGGCAGTAAGAAGAGGTAATACAAAAGTATGCAAACTATAAAAACGAGTCAAGGTGGATTGTCCCACACTAGAACTTCCGCGTAATAACTCTACCAAAGAGGATCCTATTACAGGAATAGCTTCGGGCACGCCTGTTACAATTTTGACTGCCCAATAACCAATTTGATCCCAAGGTAAGGAATAACCAGTTACACCAAAAGATGCGGTCAATACAGCCAAAACTACACCGGTAACCCAAGTTAATTCGCGAGGTTTTTTAAAGCCACCTGTGAGATACACGCGAAATACGTGCAGAATCATCATTAAGACCATCATACTTGCCGACCATCGATGAACTGATCGGATTAACCAACCAAAGTTAGCCTCCGTCATTATATATTGAACAGAAGCAAAAGCTTCAGTAACAGTCGGACGATAATAAAAAGTCATAGCAAATCCCGTCGCTACTTGGACTAAAAAACAAGTAAGTGTAATTCCTCCTAAACAATAAAATATGTTTACATGGGGAGGAACGTATTTACTGGTTATATCATCGACAATCGCCTGAATCTCAAGACGTTCTTCGAACCAATCATAGACTTTATTGAGATAGGTAAACTAAGGTACCCCCCCCGAGAACCGTATATGAGAATTTCATCTCGTACGGCTCAAACAAAAATACCCAAATACTGGTTGTAATGAAAACAGATATGTGTAATAGAAAGCTTGAAACTTCTTAACGGAATCCTATGATTCCAATCTTTTCGGAAGATAAGAAAAAATAGAAATCCGAAAACTATTCTTTGTGGTTATAATGCCAAAATATCAAGTCGGCTCACTCGTCTTTATTTACAGTAGGCCTCTTGAATATTCTATTATTTACTTCCATTTTTTATTTGTGTGTAATGTTCTTTTTTTTACTGCTGTTTTCTTAATTATTATTATTGATAGGAATTCTCTTGTTAGGACCATATGAATCAATTAAAAAAAACATCAGATTCGTATCATGACCACGATGATTCAAAAAAAACCTTTAATCGAAGTCCAAAAATTCCCTGAGTAAGAACTGCTGGATCATCACTTATTCAATGAATAGATAGAACAAAGAAACATTTGTCCGTTGATCAAAATAAAGATAATCGACGGAAGTTTTAAATAATTTTCATTTTTCAATTTATTCTTTCAACTCTTTGAAAAGTTTTTTTAAATCCAGTTACGAGGTCTAAATATTTAGTATGAATCATAGTTCTAATATTTTAAGAATATTTTTGATTTTCTATATTCCGTACTCCAGATACTAGAATAAATATCTGACGGGGTAAAATCATCTCTATCAAGATGACAGATCCATTTTTTTTATGTTCTGTACTATCAATAAGATCCATTATAACAAGTCACACACTCATATTCCGGAAATACAGAAACAAAGAAGTTTCACGATCAAACTACCAAATCAAAATGAAATAGGCTAACGATAAAAAACCTAAATGCTTAACCTTAGTTTTCTATTGAAAAGCTAGTTACTTGATTCTTGTGAATCTAATTCATAGAAATTCCGTCCAGTAAAATGGACGAATTATAAATCTCCAAAATAATAGATAGAAATATCGCAAATAGAGCCATTGCAACACCCATCAAAGGAGTAGTTCCCCACCCCGGAGCTACTTTACCATATTCTGAATTTAATGGTTTTAATAAATCCCCTACAATAGTTCGTCTTGGACTAGACTTAGAATTACCCTCAACAGTTTGTGTAGCCATAAATCCTATTTTATATTGATTGAGATCTGTTGACTTTGTATACCATTCCGCTGTAAATATAGGATCTATATCCTATAGATCCATTGTGGTCTTGAAATTTTGGAATTCTAAGAATTTTTAGAATTATAATGGAAACAGCAACCCTAGTTGCCATCTCTATATCTGGTTTACTTGTAAGTTTTACTGGGTATGCCTTATATACTGCTTTTGGGCAACCCTCTCAACAACTAAGAGATCCATTCGAAGAGCATGGGGACTAGTTGAAGTAATGAGCCCTTAATATAATATTGGGGGCTCATTACTTCAATTGAGATAATGAAAAATCATTTCATTTTTTTAGTTGGAACTTTAGGGGGTTCTCTAAAAAAGATAGCGAAAAAAATGATTCCTAAAGTCGAAACTAAGAGGAATGTATAAACCAATGCTTCCATAGATTTAATCGTGGTTTACAATTATAGCTTTCATACCTGTTTATTGTTTATTGGAGCTCATTTCTCGGATAAAGAAAAAAAGTGAAAACAAAGTGTTTTGAGTCGAATCAAGATTTATCTGGTTCTTTATGTCAAATTCAAATCATAACAACAAAAACAAAAAAAGTCGAAAAGGAACAAAAGAATGCTCTATCATACTATCTGTCTTCTTGTAGTTGGATCTCCAAGTTTTTGGAATGCTCCAAATTCTACTTGAGCATCCAAATCTGGGTCGATCCCAGCAAAAACATCTCGGAACAAGGTTCTAGCACCATGCCAAATATGCCCGAAAAAGAAGAGTAGAGCAAACGAAGCATGTCCAAAAGTAAACCAACCTCTTGGACTGCTACGAAAAACACCATCTGATTTCAAAGTAGCACGATCTAATTCAAAAATTTCACCTAATTGAGCACGTCTAGCATATTTTTTCACAGTAGCAGGATCACTATAACTGACTCCATTGAGTTCGCCACCATAGAACTCAACAGTTACACCTACTTGTTCGACACTATATTTCGATTCTGCCCTTCGAAAAGGAACATCGGCTCTAACAATTCCGTCTCCGTCTACTAAAACAACCGGAAATGTTTCAAAAAAAGTAGGCATACGGCGTACAAAAAGTTCACACCCCTCTTTATCTCTAAAGATGGGATGCCCTAACCAACCAACGGCTATTCCATCTCCATTATCCATTGAGCCCGCTCTAAACAATCCCCCTTTTGCTGGATTATTGCCGATGTAATCATAAAAAGCTAATTTTTCAGGAATTTTAGACCAAGCTTCTGATAAACTTTGATTTTCGGCTAGCCCAGCACCAACTCTTCGATATATTTCTTGCTGGAAGTATCCTTGATCCCATTGATAACGAGTGGGACCAAATAATTCAATGGGGGTAGTTGCTGAACCATACCACATAGTTCCAGCAACAACAAAAGCTGCAAAAAAGACAGCAGCGATACTGCTGGAAAGGACGGTTTCAATATTTCCCATACGCAATCCTTTGTATAGACGTTGCGGTGGACGCACACTAAGATGGAAAAGACCCGCTAATATGCCCAATGTTCCTGCTGCAATATGATGAGAAGCTATTCCCCCCGGAACAAAAGGATCAAAACCTTCCACACCCCATGCGGGATTTATGGATTGTACCCTTCCCGTTAATCCATAAGGATCAGACACCCATATTCCAGGACCGTACAATCCTGTTACATGAAATGCTCCAAAACCAAAACAAACCACTCCTGCAAGAAATAAATGAATTCCAAAAATTTTGGGCAAATCCAAAGAAGGTTTTCCGGTACGTTCATCACAAAAAATTTCTAGATCCCAATAAACCCAATGCCAGATAGCCGCTAAAAAGCACAAGCCCGAAAACACAATATGTGCTCCGGCCACACCTTCGTAACTCCAAATACCCGGATTCGTTATAGTCCCCCCGGTGATATTCCAACCGCCCCACGAATTGGTTATTCCTAAACGAGTCATGAAGGGTATAACAAACATACCCTGTCTCCACATTGGATCAAGAACAGGGTCAGAGGGATCAAAAACTGCTAATTCATATAGAGCCATCGAACCAGCCCAACCAGCAACCAGAGCTGTATGCATTATGTGAACAGAAAGCAAACGGCCTGGATCATTTAATACAACAGTATGAACACGATACCAAGGTAAACCCATGAAAATACCCCTTATATCAACAAAAAATAGACACTATGTAACTTTATTGCACTGGAAAAAACTATACTATGGATTCTCACCTTTTACCTTTTAGTAGATTATCTCGGAGAAAGAATTAATGTTTGTTCTAGTTTTTTAGTAATAGTGTTTAGTAATAGTGGAACAATCATATTTGTAGGAACAAGAAGAAGCAGATCTATTCTATACCCGATAAGTAAGAATACGCAATGGTGGGAAGGGGGGTTGACAATTTTCTCTATGAGTATTTAAATATGTAAATGCAGACATATTCGTTTATCACCCAAGGACCCATTCGTAACAACTTTACTCTATCTTTATCTTTACTCTTCCCTTTTTTATGATTTATAAAAAATACAATATAATAAAAGCAAATTGTTTTTAACACAATAAACCCATTCTTACGTTTCCACACTAAAGTTAAATATATTATTTTATTTTCTTTTTTTCTCTATTTTATGCCCATTGGTGTTCCAAAAGTAACCTTTCGAAGTCCTGGAGAAGGAAATGCATCTTGGATTGATATATAGTGCGACTTGTCAGATATATTTGGTCATACGGGATTTCCCCGTTCTCCCCCCCCGATTGAGATATCCTCTCTTTCACCACCAAAAAAGAATGATTGAATCATCCAAAATTTGGAGCGTGAAGTGTAATGAAGTGCAATTCGATCGATTTTTTATTTTTTGGAGGGGGTATCCAGATTACTATTCGAAATTCAAAATAATTTATGGTTGGCTTGCTTGGACCAATAAAACGAAGTATCCAGACTCTGTTTAGAAAAAAACCAATTGGTAATATATCCACAATTACTACTTCTATCATATCATATATTTTACAGAAAAAATGAAATAATAAATTCAGAGAAGAGATAAGTCGTAACAAAAAGACATGGTATTGTAATATTTGTCCTATATGTGCAAATAAAAATCGGGCAGATCCTTATCCTTACTTAGAGTAGAAAAGAAACCTAAAAGAATTGAGGAAGTCCATTCAGAAACAGAAAATTACATTGTGATTTGTGTTCGATCTCGATGAAAGCAATACATCAATGAGAAGTTAGTTCAATAAATTTAGTACATTTTTTTTCGTTAAAAATTCGAAAGAGTCCATTATGAAAAGGGAAAGAGGGTTGAAATAGACACATTGATTCCTTTTTGTTTATATGATTTTTAGTGAACCGTATGCATCAAAAGGTGCATGTACGGCTCTTAAGGTATAAGATTAAATCCTAATCAATCGACTTTATCGAGAAAGATTACTTTTTTTAGGCCAAGAGGTCGATAGTGAACTATCGAATCAACTTATTGGCATTCTGCTATTTCTCGGTATAGAAAAATATAACAGAGATGTGTATCTGTTTATAAATTCTCCGGGTGGGTGGATAATACCCGGAATGGCTATTTATGATACTATGCAATATGTACAACCAGATATACAGACAATATGTATGGCATTAGCCGCTTCAATGGGATCCTTTCTTTTGGCAGGAGGAGAAATTACCAAACGTCTAGCATTCCCTCACGCTTGGCGCCAATGATTCTTTTATTTGAGAATATATATGAAGACTATACCTTCGCCATAAAAATACTTAAGTAATAATAGCATGGTACTTCGAATTCGATATACAAATTTTTGTTTTTTAAACCATTTGATTATGTATCGAAAAAGTAGTATGAAAGAGAGGGCTTTTACGATTTTATCTGATCTATCAGGAACCTAGTTTAGTTTTAGTGTCACAGACTTTTTTGTTTTTAGTTTTCATACCAAAAAGCTTTTAACAATATTTATGTCTAACAATATTTATTTTAATTAGAAAATAAAAAACATATGATAAAAAACAAGAAACTTTCGGATTGCTGAATAACAAAAAAGACGAAATAAGAAAACAACGGAACCATCATAGTATTTAAAAAAAATACTCAAAAAGAAAAAGGAAGGTTGGTTATTGTATTATTTATTATTTAAGGATCTGGATCCAAAAAACCCAGTAGATTTTCTATTTTTTTTTCTTCAATGGAAAAAAATCCATAGAGAAAATACTCTATCCATAGAGGAAAAAAAGAAATTGCATACGTGGAAAAGAAAAGCCGTATGCATC